AACCCTCCCCCCCCCCCCCCGCTTATTAATTTAATCTGTAATAAGTGCAACTGAGATCCCATTATTATTGCTAAACAACAATACAGCAGGACTCAACGGGATAATGGTCAAAGGTAAATAATGCTGTCCCGAATGACAGACACGCGAACTTGCGTTCGTGGTGATCAAGCAAGAGGAAAGAAAGTGATCCCAATCTCAAACACGAAACACTCAAACCTCTCTCCCTGCGATCTACCCTACCCACATGAAAATACTCCCCAAATTCTTCTATACCACAACTAAAAGAGGACATAAATGATTAGACAGTATGTAATTAAGTAATTTAATGACTGAATGAGTAGATGAATAACGGTAATGATAATGATAATGAATAACCAGATGAAGTGATGAGGTGAACAAATGAATGATAGATGAGTAAATGATGAATATATGTGTGTATATACAAATGGGCAAGTGAGGTATGGTGTGTGAATAATTATATGTATATAACAGTAATTAATCAATTATCCATCCGAATCATCATTCCCGGCAGAAGACGAATGAGACCCCGCTCGCTCGCGACGCCTTTCCTCGTCCTCCTTTTCCCTCATTACTTTTTCGGCAAATGCAGAAAAGGCCGCCCAACGTTCTCCCGATCCAGTGATGGCTTCTATGACATCTCCGAGAGTGAAGTCGCGGGCCAGTCCAAGTTTCCTCTTCAACCTGATCCTTTCCGGATCCCACGCTGGACAATCCCTTATTATGTGGTACACATCATCCACCTCTTCTCCACAGAAGTCACAAGACGAATTCTCTCTTCTACCGATGCGATGTAAAAACTTCGCAAAGCATCCATGACCAGTCATGATCTGCGTGATATGAAACGACATACTTCCGGATCTTCGGGATAGCCACGCTTCCAATCTAGGGACAATAGCCAGTTTCGTAAACTCCCCAGGTGTATTGGGTCTGTCCAGCTGATCTCGCCACTCCGCGCACAGCCTATAATGTTCGGTCTCCTGTATCACATTTCGAATTTCCGTAGTTAGGTTTTCTCTATCTCTGTATTTCTTGATCCTATCAAATATCCGTTTCCGCATCGGAGGCTACAGGTGTAGAGGAGGTAACCGCGCCAGTACAAAAGCCGCGTTCCCCGACACCGTTCGGTACGCCGAAATGACTCTTTGCGCCACTGTGCGCTCCAAACTAACGAGCGCTGCACGTCTTTTGCTAGAATTCAGCTCATTGCCCCAAACCGGCGCACCATAGAGCATCACGGACAGAAGCACATTAGCGTATAGGCGTCGTCGTCTCTCGTCAGGCCCCCTCAGATTTGGCATGAGGCGGTTAAGGGCTCGCGCAACTCGACTAGTTTTTTCCACCACGTACCTAAAATGCTCATTGAACGTCCACCAGGCATCCAGCATAACTCCTAGGTATTTAATACTAGACCTAAAACTTATAGTAGCATCGCCAATCTCGATGCACGCTAGTTATAACCGCACGCCTAGTAATAAGAAATTGAAAGTGACTTTCATGTGACCTTCAAATGACTATCCAAGGTGGCACCATCTTATGTCCCCTTTCGAATCAAACAACTTTTGTCTGAAACGTTTTTTCGTATCTTCCATATTTTTCGAGATATTTGACTGGTTCTTTTAAAATGGACCACTCTGTATAATGTGTATATTTATGTGTATAGAGTAGTCATTTTAAATTCTATTTGAAGATCAATTTTATGTTACAATTTTTTATATAAAAGTCTTTATGTTGTTGTCTGTTTAGGAATTGCTTTAAAGATATAATTTTAAAAAATTAATTTGGAATATTATATTTTTATCAAGAGACACGGTAGTGTCTTGCGCCAAGTCACGCGAAGCAAAGACCGCGCGTA